AGTGAGAGGAGTCATTTTTACCATCGTCTATAGAATATAGAATACGCACAAAAGAACGATCATTGACAATTATAATACGAATTTACGAACTGCTTTTACTTCGCTACATTACAAATTTTGAATCAATTAATGTTCGGCCGAATATTCGTATCGGTTGAACTCATATTTGGGGGTTATTGGGATTCAAACTTCGACCCCTAGACGCCTACAATACATTCATTAACGTAATTAAAGTTAATTAATTCGATAATCAATATAATTTTAGTGATTGCAGAGATTAGACATGGCATTATTTAAATGCAAACGCTGGACATGCGAACCACAATTGCTTGCGTGACAAGTCACCTCCGAAAGCAAAATTTAATTCCTTAAAACTACGTTTTTTTTCGCTGAGAAATATATCTTTAACTTCAATGGCACTTCATAGCAGCAACCACGTGAATGATTTTCAGGATCTACCAGAATTATTAACAATTATACAATATTATTAGAGTTTATAATGTTTGAACCTTTTATAAACATTTTAGTAGTACAGTGGAACAGAATTAATGTAATATTTACGGAATATACAGGGAGGCTTTTCTAAGTGTATCCATTTTTTTTTATTAAATTCTAGACATAAATAATGTATTATAAAAAATGATAAATATTTAAAATCACTCGTAAGTAATTAATTACATTCATTTGAAATTATCTCAAAAAGTGCATGATTAATACGCAACTCGTTTATTTTACGCGCGATCATTGATAACTAACACGCACACAAGTTCGTTTCAAAAGTATACGACGCATAAATGTCCGACACCTATATATCTACATTGTGACAGGCACAAAACTAAAGTTTGTTACTACACGCGTATCATAGCACAAGTAAGTTACCCGTGGGTTCTGGCTAGCCCACCAGTTCTGCGTCAGATGAAGCTTTAATAGTCTCGGGACTGAAAGCAAAACCATCAGTTAATACAAGATACAAGACAAGTAAGTTTATGATGCCAATTTTTAGGTTCTAAAACCGTCATAATAAAGGGTCGTCATAATACTAAAATACTACTTTCTTATTTTAAAATCACACACTATTGTTAGTACTTATTATAGCGTATTTAAAAAGTGGAATCAACTATTTACAACAATTAAACGTACCTATTCCTTTAGTCACAAAAACACTCACTGATATTTTAACAATTGTTCAAAATGGAGTCCATTTCTCTCAATATAAAGCTGAGCACGCTTTCTCAAACTATTTTTTAACATTACTTGTGTCTGAACATTGTATACGCCGTTGTAGTAAATTGTCCAAAATCTAATAACCTTTTGTTGGCTGCCAAAATCGTCCATCAATCGCGATAAAGAGTCACTTTCATAAAGTCCTTGCGCACCGCGTAAATGTAGCACCTTCTTATGTACTTTCACCACTTAAAATGTGGCACCGTACCATCTCGTTATACTCGCGGTTCTAATAACTGCGTTGTGGTTTCGACATCCTTAGAGATAAGCAAATCTAAAAATAGCACGCTCGACCTTAATTAGGTCACGGTCAAATTGAAACTAACGAAGGGCAGCGGGCAGCGGCTGCATAGAGCGGTCACCGCGGGCGGGTGGAGGAGAAGAGAACGAGGTTTTATGACGCAACTTAAAAAAAAATTGTCGCCTCCGGTTTATCGCGAGCGCTTAGTTATGTTTGTGTGCGTGCACAGTAAAATTTAGGTATTAATGAATGACTACCGCAATGTCAAGTTCTGTTTTTTAGGGAATAGGGTGGCAATTTTTTTTTTGAAAAAAAAAAGTTTGTTTTTTATTACAATAAACGATTATAACTACCGAGTTTGAACCTCCTGTGAAAATTTGGGCACTACTCGAAAAGACTCCCTGTATACAGGTTTATGAATAAAGATTTACGTACACAGGTTTATGTATAAAGGGTTATTTAGATACAGTTTTCAATTTCATTGTGTTGTAGCTGTGCAAGATAAAAGCTTATTATCTGCGGATCTGTTCGTTGATAAAATAATAACGGGAATATCATTAAATTGAGCGTAGGCGTCATGTTGTTGACTAAAGAACAGCGATAAATCACGTTTTATGAAGCTCTAGATATTTCGTAGATAAAGAAATTGCTATATATGGGCAAAAATAAACTGTACAAATAGGAACTGCATTTCATACATATTTCTAGACTTAAGGTATTCGTTTATATGGTAATATAATAAATAATTAAAAACAGCTTATTTCATTTATTTAATATAATAAGTTATTCAATCGAAGTCCAGTAATATCTTACCCAAGTCTCATTTTTTGATTTCAATCATAAAAACTCTAAAAAACTTTCATTTAAATAATTTATCATAACTAATTTAAATACCATATTTATTATTGTTCGGTGGCAATATCCTTTAATAACCTATACAAACTTTGCTTAATCTTAAATGAACGATATTAGATACTTGAGTTAAAGATAACTTGAACTTTTAATACATTGTTACAATAAGTATAAAATCAGCGTAGTAATGATCGCGTAGTCGTACAGGTGTTGGGGTATAAAAAAAAAAGTAAAGTAACAGCCTATACATGTCCCACTGCTGGGCAAAGGCCTCCTCTATACAGAGGGTATCAGGGCATAGTCCACCACGCGGCCCCACTGCGGATGGCGGACTTCACATATTTTCGAAATATTTTTTGTTATTATTTCGAAAATATGCAGGTTTCCTCACGATGTTTTCCTTCACCGCGGAGCACGTGATAAGTCAGCACTTAAAGTTAAAAACTTCATTGGTGCCGGCACCGGGGATCGAACTCAGGTTGCTCGAGTATATTGAATTAAAGGCGAGCGCCCGGACACTGAGCTATCACGGCTCATTGGGGTATATCCTAAGTTATTGTGATCATTTTAATTAGGCACTTAATAAATGCATCATATTGTAAGTCACAAAATTATAATAAAATAAGCATTTCAGATATTTTAACACAATGTTATAGATAACCGAGACTAGAGTCCCAAACTATGAAAAGCTATGGATTGTATGTTACTTATAAGCATACTTTTGTTTTGTATATACATATTTATTACAGATACATAACCCTTAAGATGGCTTGCTTTATCAAGTCGTTCGAACACACTGCACATTCCCATCCCTACTTTTATGCCCTGACGATTCAGTGGATAAACAACCAGATATTATGCCAATCGTCGTCAAAATAAAAAAAAAAACATAGGCCATAATAAAATGTAAAATATATATTTTTACGTTGTTTACACGAACTAAATGATAATCATAAAACGAAGGTACAGGTTAAAAACAGAAAACACAGGTGACAATCGTCAATATTTTTTGTTAAAAAAGGACCAACTTTTCTTTAAATTAAAAAAATTGACCATTCTTCGTAAAAAGATAAAGCTTGTTTACAATGCCGTATCATTTGCAACATGAAGATATATTTATAGATAACTGTAACTATGGGAACCTAGTTCCCGTCATTTTCCCGTGGGAATATACCGAAATACAAATAACAATAAGTAACTTTTATTATGTTTACTGTGGTTCAAGTTTTTAAATATTGTTTAAATAAATCATAATTAATAAAGTAACTAACTAAACCTAAGTAATCTAGTTTCAATTCAATAAGAGCATCTTCAAGCACTGGTTTTACGGCATTACTTTCTAACTTTTAACGTACCAACGCTAAAAATATTCGAATACTTATCAATATAATTTGGTCATAATCTGTATACGTTACAAATTTCCACGACCGGTAACGGCCCACATTTTATTGTGTCAGTAACCCAACCGATATCGCATATATTCTGATCCTCTGGTGACAATAAATTGTACCCGCGCTCAAATTAGTATTCACGTCAAATCAAACTGGAAATTATGAATAAATAAGTGGAATTTTTTCAGAGAGGTCACATTAATCACTATGAGTAAATTTATGATATGATTTCAAATGACATGATTTTAAAATAACCAACGACGGTGCAGAATAAAACATCATGGCTTGTTAACTTCAATTAAAGTTGGTGCAAGAAAACTTTAAAAGATTAACAACAATACAAATCGTAATGATGTACAAAGACTTTCTTTATACTTGCTCGGAAGACTGTTTACAACAGCATTTTTAGTTTAGCACAGAATACGCATAAACTAAGTGTGGGTTTCAAAAATGACATTCTTAAATTAAAGGTATTGCCTGCATGATAAAAACATACATAAAGTAAGAACTACAACCGTTTGTAAATGGCACCAACCAGTTATTTATACATTTTTTATAATTAACTACGTAGAGTAAAAGTAAACACAAGGGGCAATGGCAAGGCTGGGTATAGCCGCATAGTTTTTGGCTAATTTTCGCAATTCAAAGAATTCGGATCACAGTTTTGTAGTTATAAAAGTGTAAATATATCAGTAAAAGTATAATTTTCATTATTCAATACCTCAACGCGGCAATTTGAAGCGGTTATCGAATTCAGAATTGACTACATATAAATAAAGAAGAAGATTCTAATTTATATATTCAAAGAAAAGTTTAGTCTTAACATTCAACGTTCGAATTAACCTTGACAATTGAAATTAAATTTTTAACATTTATATATATTCAAAGAAAAGTTTAGTCTTAACATTCAACGGTCGAATTAACCTTGACAATTGAAATTAAATTTTTAACTTTCCTTATCGCAGCTGATTTTGCATGCTAAGAACAAAATTAGTGCACGGGAAATTTTTTTTGGAGGCCAATTTTTAATTATTAATAATTGTTGTACTCGAAGAACACTTAAAAGCGACATCCAGACAACAATCGATTTAATCCCGGATCGAATGTTTACTCACGCACGCCACAAAAAGCGAAATCGAACACGCGGCACAACGCCACATGCAACACCGTGTCTCAAGCACTTAATACGTATACGCATTAAGAACAGTCGCATTCGAAATGTAAAAGTGCCTCGGCTGCTTTTAAGCAAATCTTAAGTTCTTGTCGTACGGTCACAAGTCGAGTTCACTCACCGAGTTTCCCCATCATCTCCTCCAGAGCGTGGTCTTTGTCCATGTCGACTGCGGTTGGCGCTTCGTTCCTGTTGCCAAATTCCTGTGAACGGTCACAATCACCATTGATGGATTGGCGGGACGGAGCGCGTGGTGTGCGAACGCCAGGCGCGTGTGCCGGCGAGCGAGCGAATGGAGGTCCATCGCCGTGGCGCCGACTTCGACGGTCGGTTGCCGCAATCGAGCGAAAAGTCGCATTGCATCTTATCTCCATTAAGTCATACCTGTCGCTTGGCGGCGCCCGCGCAATAATCCAAACGGACCGGACGTATCAACAGTTAAGACCGATCTTATACGATTGCGTACGAATTGTAGTAACAAAGTATTCAATGCAGAGACGCAATAATAAAATATTGCACCGCTATTAGGTGAATGTCGGCTTTCCCAACTTTATTCAACGACCGTCTTTTAATGTGGAAGTTTAATAAAATATATCGTACTTACAGAAGTTAGGTACTTCTTTTTTACTAAATTAATAGATGAACAGTGTGAGAAATTATATATTGTTCGAAATAGAAATAGCAGTATTCGATATGTTAACCATAACAATTATTATGTTTACTAGTCACGCAACCGAATGACGCAACGTTGTAAATTAGATGATCTTCGTGATCCAATAATAAGCCGTATAGAGTAAACATAAAACAGTACGCCCGCCTTATTGTTCATAAATGTTTCTAAATATAGTTTCAATGAATATTGGAACCATGACAGCTTTGTCTTGCAGATAACTACTATTCAAAATTGGGAAGGCACGACTTTAATTTTTAGCTAAATCACTTAGACAGAATTTTTATATTTTAACAAATCTAATAAACAAAAGATGTAGACCATTTTTTTCAATATTCCACGACGAATTGTTATACAGGTAAATCATTAAAAATGCCTGTACAATAATTGCTTCTATAAATAAGTAACAAAATAAATGTCGTGAATATGAAAAGAGTGATTTGAGTGTTTCCTGTTCCCAATGTAGGCCTATACACTGATATTATGGTTTAAAAAATGTACTGTAATATAAGTGCACTCACTCGTATATTATTTAGCTTTAGAGTAAGTGAATTGTTTATTATTTGACGTAGTTTTCCTTTTATCTTCTGTTATGATTCAAATCATGAGACATGAATTTTGTTTTGCGTTGATTTATCACCTACCCAATTAACATACGTCAATCAAATAATCAAATTATGTATTTCAGTTTACCGAATAAAGCTAACATTAGTTGCACTGCCGTCACAACCTTGCTGACTCGAAGTTTTGTATTTTACTAATTCGGATTTGTGTAAACTGAAGACTAAAGCGCTATAGCAAACGTGACTGACGTTATTACTTATTGTTTATACATTTTAATTTTTAAGTGCTAAAAATTTTAATTTTAAACTCCCTATTGCAGAATATATTAGTTATTTCGTAATAAAGATAAGTACCTAATGTATTTTGTAACAGGGAGTTTTCATGAACTTCAACATTAATAAATAAATAAAATAATTATTAAAAACTTTCAACATCGAAATTTTATTGTTTAATATCAAGATAGATTTAACACTTATTATTTAAATACGTATTGTAACATAAACATCGCCACTTGTCTTTATTGTCGTTTAATGTGTCACATAACTCCATATACTGAAAAAAACCGGCCAAGTGCGAGTCGGACTGGCGCACGAAGGGTTCCGTATCATTATCTATACATCTACAGCGTGTCGTTAACATCGCGACAATAAATGAACACACGTCTAACGCTACTTGCCAATAATCATAAAAAACATTAACGTTAAACAAAATCCATAATTAAAAAAAATTTTTCAAACAAACTAACTAAGTACAAAAGAAACAAAATTTGTAACATCCTATACAACTCGCACCACAGCGTCGTATTATAAGCCTCTCCTTCTAACAGTATGTTTTGTCTCTTTTAAATTCATTCAACCCATTCATATGCTTTGTGACCTTTACAAATGAACTTTACGTTACGCTTTTATAGGTAAGGGTGTTCTAAAATTCTTTGTTTTGGAAGATTTAATAACTCTGTAAATATTGATGTTAAAAGAATTTAAATGTTTAATACAACTTTAAAAAGTTATCCCCTATATGGGTGTTCATTTATTGTCGCGATGGTAACGACACGCTGTATATACAACAGATAAATAAAATTGGCGTGTCTGTTTATTATATTTAAAAAACCACTTTTTGCTAAATACATATGGTGAATACACGGTGCAAAGTAACATTTTTTTTAATTTTGTCTGTTGGTCTATTTGCTAATCTCTGAAATGGCTGGACCGATTTTAACGGGACTATCACTGACAGCTAGCTGATAACATAAGGAAATTTTATTCAAATTCCACGCGGACGTAGTGGCGGGCACAGCTAATCTGTAATAATCTAATTGGTAAGTACGTGTAGGTTGCCTAGCAACCGCGTTTGTTATATGGGAGGCCCCTTAAATATTTTTATTTTATTCTGTTTTTTAGTATTTCTTTTTAAAGCGGCAACAGAAATACGTCATCTGTGAAAATTTAAATTTCAACTGTGTAACGGTTCATGAGATATAGCCTGGTGACAGACGGACAGCGGAGTTTTAGTAATAGAGTCCCGTTTTACCCTTTGGGTACGGAACCCTAAAAATATGTGGCAATATGTTGTCAAGGCTTACATTATCTTGGTGTTTTAGCTCTGTGCAATAAAACTTCTTTATTTGCATTTGTTAATTCGAAACTATCTCATTTACATGGATACCTACATTAGTTAGTTAGTTGTATCTTTGTACTCGCCTACAATTAAACAATATGCAATTTCTGACTGCTTGTCGCTAAAATATTAGAATCAACACGATGCACACTGCAAAATGAGAAAAATCATAAACATCGATAGCTATGGCTCAAGAAGATATTTGCATATTATCGTAATTACTTGACCACCAATAAAAAGGGCATTTACCGTTTAGGTTGGTTTAAGTTTTAAACACGTTTTGAAATTACAATTGCAAAAGCCAGCGCAAATTACAACTCACCTAATGCTTTATCCCTTTATATCTGTTTGGTGTTACTTATTATAATTTATAAATAATTTTTTTGACATTTTATTAAATATTAACTTTGGAAACAACTAAAGAATGATTTATGCGGACGCTAATATAAAATCTAGACAGCCTAGATTTGCATCGGCTAGTTGATTCATAGTTATGTCTATGTATGTAAATAATTTGAAACCACAATTATAGCACGTGACTGTTATAAAATATTATAAATTCGTTTCAGAATCGGTACCATATACGAAGATGTCACGACAGATGTGTTAGGAGTTATGGGGACTTGGCAGTGGCTTGTAACAATTACACTCACAATTCTTATGGTGCCTACGGCGTTAAACCAATACCAGGACATGTTTCTATTGAGGCCGTCAGGAGGCATTACATGCGTCATACCGGAGCATATTAACGTAATCAATAAGAGTTTGTGCTCTTTCTACGTGTCATATAACACGACTGAAGAAATTAAATGTAACAGGTGGCAAATTAAATTATTGGGATTAATTCGGATCGAAAAAATGGTAAGATTTTTGTAGGAACCACTTCTATATGTCCAAATAAGGAATAAGGTTAAGCAAAGTTCTAAATAAAAAATTTTGAGTGATTACCTCCGCCGTCACAATTTTGTTGACTATCATTGACAGACGACTGCGCCTCGGCTACTTCACTCACGAAACAAGAGGCAAAAATACAAATAAATCTGTTAAGACTCCTTTTCAGTAACGCGTGTTACTTTCTCAATGAGCGGGCTTCTGAATGCAAGTGCTTCCATGCATTATTTGTTTGTAAATGCGGTGAACAATAAGGTAGCGCTTTTGCAAAAATTAAATCTAAAAACGGATAAATGTGAGTCAGATATTATTTAACGACTGTGGAACCGCAAGAAAATGAGTGTTTATGGTTGGTGTGTTGTGGTTTGTGTTTGTTTTTTTTTTTTCAATGTAATTTAATTCACTAATAGTTCTTGACATAATACTATAACTTTGCATACCAGCAAATAACTGATAGTTTTCTTTATTCAGTGGCTAATATTTTGCGACGATAACTTTAAGCTTTTATCGACGACGGTGATATGTCGCCTGGGTTGTATGTTCGGCTGCGTTATATTTGGCTTGATATCCGACAGGTAACTTTATCTTGTACAATTAAATTAAAACGTTAATATCAATACATGTCATAAATTGATTAAGGTGATTGCACAATTTTAAGAAAAAGGTTCGATTCCGGATTTGGTTACTCATAATTATTTTTATGACCTACGCTAACATTACAATACTTATTTTGGATCTGACTGACATAACTGGTAAGGCACGCGGGAGTCTTCGCTGTTGCACGAATGGGCAGGTCGGATCGGGGATCTACCACGATCTCACACTCACAACCAGAGCTAGTGGGCTGTTGCAGATGCGTTTACCACCTATTAATAAAGTGTTATTAATAGGTGGTAAACGCATCTGCAACTCTATGGGTGTTACAAATGTCCATGGACGGCCGTTATCAATTAATATCGGGTGAACCGCCAACACCCTTGACACCTTCTCACATAAAAAAACATCTTAGATCTTAAAAAGACATCTTAGATCATGTGTCTGGTTTATATGGAAATTTTATAAATATTGTAATAGCACACAATACATGCTGCCTTGTTATGTTTTAAACGCATTAAGAAAACCTAAGATCAAATATTTTGTCTCTACTTGCCCTACTAGGCCACGCAGCAGCTTTTGCTGATGTAGAAATGGACAGGCTCGTCCGGGGAAGTTCCGACATGAAGTGGAAGAATTCATTTTCGCCTTTTGTGAGGTATTCGAGACCAACTTTTTAGTTTGCGAATCTGCAACTCCATAGTTGTTATAGTGTTATACTCCAACGGTAGTAACTCAACATCAGACTAACCGAATGTTCATTTGCCCAGTTTTCACATAAAAAAATTAATGCTTTACTAAAGTGGCCGTATTTACCAAATACCAACGTCGCACGATGAAAGGCCGTGTGTTCTCAGAATGCGTAACAACTTGAAAGCTCCGCAAAAATAACAAAACACACACAGCTCATTTACAGAATTACTTACTAACAGAATTAAAAGGATTATTGGCAATTTTATAAGCATAATACAATAGCACGCAGGCTTTCTATAAACAGAGTTTGACAACCAATGATGTTTTATATACAAATTAAAGGTA